TTCGTCTTGCGTACGTGGCCACTAGGGCCATCACTGCTGATATATTCACCAAGGCACTTCCGCCTGGTGATCATCAGCACTTCTCTACTGTGTTAGGCCTTGTGCCTACTTTGCTTCATTTGCTCAATGCATGACTTTGCTTGTACTGTTTTCTATATATATACTTGCATGCTTACTCTTGCTAAGCCATGATCACTATACTGTTTGTGTTTTTTGTTTGTACTGTTTTCTATATATATACCTGCATGCTTACTCTTGCTAAGCTATGATCACTGTGCTGTTTGTGCTTTCTATATAACACTGCATGTGAACTGGCCTTGTGGCCCTTTGCTTGTGCTCGGACTGTGTGGTGACTTTGTGATCCACCGTGAGCTTGCTTTGCTTTTCTTGACTGGTCTTATGACCACTTGTTTTCCCCCACTTTGCCTATGGGGGTGTGTTAGATTGTTCTCGTGCTTACATTTGTATAGGCTATAGTGGGGTAGCCCATAAGGGGTACAACCCAATAAGGGTTAGTACTTGTACCCAACTTCTGCTCAATGGATTCATTCTCGTTCGTTAGTTTGACAGCGTGATGCCTACACGACAGTCCCCAACTGGTTTTTTTTTTAAGGAAAGGACTCCGATGCACAAAATTACAGTGTCAGTGCTTTGGTGTGGCTGGCAGCGGCGCCGACACCTTCGCAGCGACAAAGTGCTGGCAGCTTTCGACTCAGAATTGCTGCCAGCGGTGTTGGTTTCCTCCAGCGAGCATGCTACGAGACAGAAAAAAAAAATCACGCATGCATGTACACAGGCTGGTAGGAATCCATAGTGTAGGGTCTTAAATTTCATCTGAGGTAAAAATATTTGTCTTACTGATCAGACGGCCATAAAATTGAAGTCTTACATATCAGATGAACAACGAAAACTAAGTCTGAAAATCAGACTATCATACCAAATTGGTCTGATAACCAGACCCTTGGTAGTACCGTAGGGTAGCCCATAAGGGGTACAACCCAATTAGGGTTAGCACTTGTACCAACTTTCTGCTCAATGCATTTATTCTCGTTCAGTATTTTGACACTCCTGAATGAGCTCTTCGCCACTTTCCTCCATCCCTTTCTGCCCTCCCGTCACTAAATAACAAAATCTGAAATATGAGAGCTTGGTTCCCTCGCACAATTTTGTCCTTGTCCTCCATTCTAATTTCTCATTTGCAACTTTTGTATGTTGCTCACAATCGCAAGTTGCCGTCTATCTTCTCGCTTCATATTGTTCGCTCTCGCTCACATTGTACTACGAACTGACCATCTTATTTCTGCTCACAACATTGTCACTTCAACAACCAGATACAATACAACGATGAAGATTATAGAAATTCCCACAAAGGAACTGATGCATACGCATAATTTTCAAATATATTACGAAATAATATATATCGGATAAGTAAACATAAGGTTCTCTCAGAATATTACGTTTTTCTTGCAACTTCGGCTTTATGTCAGGATAAAGATCAATGTTTGTTATCAATGTGCGCCAATAGCGAATCTATCTGCCATCCTCATCATTAGAGCTGGCCCGCACCAGCAAGCTCATGAAGAAGAGATTCCTGTCTGCACATTCGTCAGACACGAGTGCATCAGGGCTGTTCCAGGTATACCACGACTTCTGCTGGTCCTTCGATAGAGCTGGTTCAAGCAAATGTCCCTCGTTCCCATCCACAGCTGCAGCAATGTTCATTTGATGCCACATTGACAGCGTTTGACGATCATACATTATATTGTTCTGTTTTTATCGTACACCAATCGCGCTGCAGCGATGGCTCATCTAATGCGCCGGTTGAAGCCACAGACTCGACTGTTTCTTGGCCTTCAGCGGTCATTTAGCTCCACAGCAGCCGGGACGGGTGAGAGGCCGTACAAGAGCTGTCGGGTTAAACGCATTTTATCCGCTGACCAAATTTCCCTCGATGAATGCGCATGCAGGGGACCCAAACTTTTTGGAGTCCGTTGATATTTATTTCGACAAGGCTGCTGCCATCTGCCATGTGCCAGGGGACATCCTGGGACAGATAAAGGTATGTCTTCCGAAAATAACTGCAGCTTTGTCCCGGGATATGTTTTAAAGGCACTGTTTTTAACCATCTTGTATTCTTCGCAACTTCACTAGGGATGCAACAATGTTCTCAAGGTTCAGTTTCCACTGAAAATGTCGAATGGCACAGTCGAGCTGATCGAAGGCTACCGAGCACAACACTCTCATCACAGGCTTCCAGGTTAGCCTGCTAAGTGTTTTCTTGCATTACAGGCTAAGATGTCAAGAAGCTAACTTTCATTCGTCTTATCGCCGTTTTCAGGCAAGGGAGGTGTCCGCATGGCCCCAACCGTGGACGCGGATGAAACCGTGGCCCTTGCTGCACTCATGACATTCAAGTGTGCTGTTGTTGATGTTCCGTTTGGTGGAGCCAAGGGAGGAATCAAGATAGGTAAGCAGTCCCAAGAAAACGCATTCATCTGTGTTTCCGTAGAGATAAGTCAGGGGCTGACTCACCTTTTCCGTTTTGTCCAACACTGACCATATGCTGATGATACGAAGATCCCAAGAAGTACTCGTCGTTTGAGAAGGAAGCTATCATTCGACGGTACACCACGGAACTTGTGAAGAAGAACTTTATTGGCCCTGCTATTGTGAGTCAACCCACCTGTATCAAGCGTGTGCGTTTTGAGTGCTGATTCTGCCTTACAAAACTGTTTCCTGACCTGCACAAATATTCGTATCTCAGGACGTCCCGGCACCTGACTACGGTACAGGACCACAAGAAATGGCGTGGATCAAGGTGGGTCTTCTTTTCAGCTGCATTTGCAGTGTTGTAACTTTATCTGACCGCTTGTATGGCTGACTTTCAGGACACCTACGAGACTCTGAGGCCAGATGATCTCAATTCGTTTGCTTGTGTCACTGGAAAGCCCATCGAAGAGGTATGCTCATAATATATATCTGATAATCAATGAAAGTCTAAGAAACAACACTTACATTCGTGGAAATGTGACTACAGGGAGGCATCCGTGGTCGGACTCAGGCTACAGGAATGGGCGTCTTCATCTGCCTGAGGGAGTTCCTCAGCAGCAAGGTGCATAATGCGCAGTGTTGAGTGTGCTCATGCTATACCTCTCAATAACGTCTCTCACAATGGTTCTGCGGTTTCTTGACAGAACTGGATGACGAAGCTGAACATGTCAACGGGTGTCGAAGGAAAGTCATTCATCGTTCAAGGTTTTGGAAACGTCGGTCGTCATACCATAGACGTACGTCCATCTTCGTTCATTTCCTGTTCCTTTTGTCCAGTATGCAAAAAGGACATCAAGGTAATAAGCTATAACCCCCTCCTGTTCGGTCCACAGGCTATTGTCACAGCGAAGGGAAAAATCACCGCCATTGCTGAGTATGATGGTGGTTTGGTGGATGAGACTGGGAACGGCCTTGACATTGAAGGCATCAAGCAATATCATGCACGGAATGGCACCATCACGGGGTTCCCAGGAGCCAAAACTGTAAGAACATATTTGGTTGCCAACATGTTCTCTCGACCCAATAATGCTGTCCTAACTCTTGGAAACTGGTGTTTGCAGGTCTCCGGTCCATTCTCCCTACTTGAGCTCCCTTGTGATGTCCTCATACCGGCGGCACTGGAAGGCCAAATCCATTCAGGAAATGCCAGCCGCATCAAGGTAGAAACCAAGTTTTTGACTTCTCAACTTCCAGCTAAATATTGCTGAGGACTTCATGTTGTGATTCGCGTGCAGGCCAAGGTTGTCGCGGAAGCTGCAAATGGTCCAGTCACTCCTCCAGCAGAGAAGATCATGGAAAGCAACGGAATAGTTGTTCTGCCAGACCTTTTGCTGAATGCTGTAAGTATGAGAATCTTCAAAGTCCACGCTTTCCTAGCATTCTTCCTTGTCCCTTGCTGCACGTCTCAAAAAAGTATTTACTCAGAAAGCATTGCCTGGACTGTAGGGTGGTGTGACGGTGTCCTACTTCGAGTGGCTGAAGAACATCAACCACATTCGCTTCGGGAGGATGAGCCGACGCATGGAAGAACGGGGCAAACAGGTGAGGCTCACTGACCTCTAGCAAAAAATTCCTGTCAAAGTTAAGTTCTTTCACGGTCAAGCACTTGGTATAATACTACTCCATTGTACTGAGGCTTTTTCTGTTCTCAATCCCAGGCCTTACTGGATGCTTTGGAGAAGGAGATTGCGACCGGCATAAAATTCACTGACGACACACGTCGTTCCATCATTAAAGGGTGCGTTTCCTTTCCCCTGCAAAACCGTTTTCCCGTAGTTGTGCTCCATCTTGTTTCCGCCATGTATTTTGTGTTCATGGCCGATTGTTCTTCATTCGTCGAGAATGTATTTGTTTCAAGCGTTTGCTCGTTCCCCACTGCTTGAGCAGCAACACTGAGGAGGATTTTGTGTGGTCTGGCCTTGAGGAGACAATGATAAACGCCTGGGATGAAGTCAAACGGGTTGCTGAAGAAAGGGTAAGAAAAGTTGAGATATATCGAAGTCCTTTCATACAAAATCAACACACCTAACAATTATCTCTTTGATTTCTTCAGGAGTGCAACTTCCGCACAGCGTCGTACGTGATTGCCATCGAGAAGATTGCCACTTGTTACCGTGTCAGTGGAATCTTTCCCTGAACCGCTCTACTGGAGTACTGCCGCATGTTGATTGGTATTCTTGGAAATTCTTGATAACCTTGCCCCAGGAGAACCAAGTGTTGCTGCAATTTGCTCCACCGCATTACCAACATCAATGTGGAATTCATTAATATGTATTTGGTGGTACCACTCATACTGCAATGCTGGTAATAGTTTTCATATGGATCAAATACTACGGTAGCTTTTGACAGAATACTGGAACATACAATCACGAATGGTGCACTACCACGTTGATGTAAGATGTACAACAGGCAAGTGGAACCTAGTACCAGCTCCTTTGACTGGTTATGCATCAAAGTAGACCTAAAGCTAATGATGGCTCTCTGAACAGACCTCCCGGTGGTGAGGGAGAAATATCTGAGGCAACCGAAGGTTCTGAGGACACCGAAGCCTGAGAGGAGAGAGAAGGCTCGCTGTCGAGGGTTCTCCCAGAGAAGAAGCTGGATGATGAATGCGGTGAGAGGATGCGGGGAGGTGGGAGCGAGTGGCAGTGTGGAGCGGCTGCTGTATCCCGAACCCATTCATGTGCTGAAAGGTGGGGATGAGGGGAAGAAGGGGTAGAATAGGGTGTCACGAAGTGGGAAACTTGCATCCCATAAGGCAAACAAATGCGCCTCAAATAGGAGCACACTCACGATGTGCATCACAGAGCATGACCACCCAACTTGACTACGTACCCAAGTGCTGCAACTAACAACAGCAAAAAAAAGAGGGTCACTCACCTAATGCTTGGCTTGTAGTGATTCGTCTGGTGGGGTCTTTCACCAGCATGGCTTGAAGCAGCTCTTTGGCTTCCTCAGAAACATGCTTCCAGCGCGCCGATGAGAAGCGAGGGGCTTTAGTTCGAATGGCGTGGTAAATGGCCTCATTTGAAGCGGCCCAAAAGGGAGGCAGCCCGGAGAGCAATGCGTAGACTAGAACTCCTGTGCTCCACACGTCTGCTGGAGAGCCCCAAATGCCGTCTAGAGTCTCTGGGGCAAGATAGAGGGGTGTGCCGTATAGCTTGCACGAGGCAGCATCTGGAAACAACGGGGTTGCAGCAGGGTAATGCAGTGAGACAGAGAGGAAGGTGAGAAAGATAAATATTTATGGAACAGGTGATGTAAAGAATATTCAGGTCCACCAGCAAGAAAGAACACATAGACTCCACTTGCTTATGCATTCATGGACATCCTGAATCGTACGTTCCAAAAACCGCACAAACCATGACCAAACAAGCAGGCGAGAAACACCCTGAAAGCGAAACTTCAACAGTCAAGGCAAGCTCCAACCACCCTGTCCCTCTTCCCCCCATGCTCTCCACTACCCCTCTGCTCCCCTCAGGCCTCCAAAAGAAGACTTTGACGAATTTCATAAAACAGAACCACACAGTGCCGAGCAAACACTTAAAAATCCGCCGGTGACTGACCAGGTTCGACGTCGGTGGAGATGCCAAAGTCCACGAGCTTGATCTGCTTCACACTGCCCGGCTGCAGCAGCAGCACGTTCTCCGGCTTCACATCGCGGTGCAGCACCCCGCACGTGTGGCAGTGGTGCAGCGCGGCCAGCAGCTGGCGGCACACGGGCGCTGCCATGGACTCGGGCAGGCGGCCGTACTGGCGCATGAAGTCGAATAGATCCCCGCCGCGACACAACTCCATCACCAAGAAGATGCTCTGGTGATGGGGGAGAGTGAGTGAGAGAGAAAAGAGCAAGACGTGGGAGGGACAGGGGCAGCATGGGATGGGATGGCATGGCATGGCATGGCACGTCATAGTAGCATGTTACGGCACAGCACAGCACGACGCAACGAGGCTCACCTTATCATCCTCACACGCAGCATGCAGCTGAACAACGTTGGGATGGCCCGACACCACCTCCATTGCCGCCACCTCCCTCCTCAGATTGCGAGCCTCGTCCGCTGACTGCCGTGCCACGTGGGGCAGGGGTGGGGTGGGGTGGGGTGGGGAGGGATGGAGAGAGTGTGTTGGCAAGAAATGAGGGCGCAGGTGGAGAGGACGAGCACAAGAGGCGCAAGCAGCTGAAGAACGTTGGGGTGCGTCCATCGACACTGCCTCCCGCCTCAGATTGCACGCCTCATCCGTTGACTGTGCCGTGCAGGGGTGGTGGAGGGTGGGAGGGGCGAGAGAGGAGGGGAAAGAGAGAGAATGGAGGGAACGGGGGGGAGAGTGTTGGCAAGAGGACGATGGTGCAGGCGGAGAGAACGGGCATGAGAGGCATGTGCAGGCAGGCCAGATGGCAGCATAGCCTACCCATAGGCTGCAGTGAACATGCCAATTCCTCTCAAGACTGCTTCTGTTAACACCTCCTCCTCTCCATGCCTGCTCATCCACACCTGCCAGTTCCTTTATGCTAACCTGAATGCTCTGCTTGTCGATGGTCTTGCACGCCAGCCTCGCCCCGCTCTCCCGCTCCACACACACCCGCACCGCGCCAAACTCCCCCCGTGCCAGCACCTCGCCTCCCATCTCAAACCGCTCCTCCACGTCAGCATAAGGCCGGCCCAGAATAAACGCCCTGAACACATCAGCATCCGCAGGTGCTGAGTCAGCACCTCCTCCAGCCCTTGCAGCCTCCCCAGAAGCACTCTTCCCGACAGCCTGCCTCCCTGCTGCGCCTCTCCCCCCCCCTCTGCTCCCCTGCTGGTGCTCCCCCCGCGTCCGCCCCATGCTTCCGCCTCTCCCCTGTCCCGTCCCCTGCCCTCCCCCACGCCCTCTCCCACGCCCTCTCTCCTGCCCCTCACTGCTGCTGCTGCCGCTGCTGCTGCTCTGCACTGCACGCACCCCCCCTTCTCCCCCCCGGCCCCGGCCATTACCAGGCAACCCGGACCCAGCACCCCCCTCGGCACCGGCCCCACTCACACTCTTCCACCTCGCCTCCCCATCCCCCGCCCCACGCCGTCCCCCGTCTCCATACCCCCCATCCCCCCCCTCCCCTTCCTCCTCCTCCTCCTCCTCCTCGTCCTCCTCCCCATGGTCCACACACAGCCGGTCAAACTCACCCACGCCAGCACACCCCACGGAGGCAGAGTGCGGGAACAGAGGCATGGGAAACGGCGCCATCCGATTGGCCCGTGCCAGTGGGTTCACTGCCGCATCCAGCCGCCCGCCGCCCGGTGTCGTTGGCCGCCCACCAGATGGCGTCGTGGGGCGGGCACCGGTCGGCGTGGTCGGGCGGCCGCCAACCGGAGTTGATGGCCGGTCCGTGATAACCGTTGGATCGACTCCTGCTATCCTGCCAACGGGCGTCAACGGCCGTTCAAACACTACCGACTCATCAGTGAACGCCCCTCCTCCTCCTCCTCCTCCTCCTCCTCCTCCTCCTCCTCCTCCTCCTCCTCCTCCTCCTCCTCCTCCTCCTCCTCCTGCGCCTCCCCCGCGCTCCCCCACCCTCCCCCCTGGTGTCACTGCTCGCTCCATGCTTCCATCGCCTCGCCTCACAGGCGTGGTGGGCCGCGGCACCGCCCCCACACCAGCCCACGCCCCTGCTGCCCCTGTTGCTCCTGCTACCCCTCCCCCGCCATCGCCACTCCCCCTGCGCTCCACGAACGACTTGGGTCGCACCTTCCCGCGGAAGCTCAGCCGGTCCGCCCTGTCCGCGCGGCTGCCCGCCTGCCCCTGTGCTGCTGCGCCCACCCCCCGTGGCACTGCTGTGTGCGGCCGCGCTGCTGCTTCCACCCGTGCTGCTGCTGCCCCCAACCGCTCTGCCTCTACATCCAACCGCTCTCCTTCCGCATTCAACCGCTCTGCTTCCACATCTAACCGTTCTGTTACGCGTGTGGTGAAGGCCGAGGGCGGCCCCCCTTCCGCCCCGTGTAGTGGCGTTGTTGGCCTCTCCACCGCGCGCCCCACCCGCCCCTCCCCGCGCGCCCCCACTGCCGCTTCCCCCCGCCTGGTGGGCGTCGTAGGGCGCTCCCCGCCCGCCTCCGCGCGCAGCCGCGGAGTGCCGCCCCTCCCCTGCCCCTCCGCCGCCCCCTCCGGCCACGCTGCCGCCCCCCCCGCGTGGAGCGCCCCGACTTCCGCCTCCTGCCTGCGCGTGGGCGTCTTGGGGCGCTCGAGCGCGCCACCATCAGCGCGCAGCAGCGGCGAGGCGGGGCGCTGCCCCGCGAGGGGCGTGGAGGGGCGCTCCACCACGCGCGGAGTCACTGGCGCCTGCACCCCCGCGCCTACTGCTGCTCCGCCTCCCCCTCCCCCACCCGCGGCGGCGGCAGCGAGGCGAACCCGCTCAGCTTCCTGCAGGTCCATGCGCGCGGGGGTCCTGGGTCGCCCCGCCACCACCCCCACGCCCACCGCCGCCACCCCCGCACCCCCGCCAGCGCCGCCGCCGCCGCCCATGTCGCGCCGGGGAGGCGTCGTGGGACGATCCGATGGTGCCGCGAACCCGCCCGCGCCCAGTCCCCCTGCGCCTGCGCCTGTTCCCTGCGCCAGCCACTGCCGCGGGCTGTCCTCCTGCTCCGCCACCCCCGGCCCTCCGTGTGTCTGCACCCGCACCACGCGCGTTCTCGGCCTGTCCGCTCCGCCGCCCACAATTCCCGCGCCTGCTGCGCTTGCCACCTCCCCCCCGCCACTGCCTGCGCCGGAAACTCCCCCTCCCGATGACCCCACGCCGGCATCCGCGCCGCCAGCGCTTCCGCGACCTTTCAGCCGCAAGGCGGCCCTCTCCGCCACGGCGCGCGCGTTGGTGGCAGACGCGCCCTCCCCCGGCCGCACCTGCGGCGCACTCGCGCTCTTCCGCAGGGCCCGCGACGCCACCGCCCCCGCCACAGTGCGCAGCCCGCCACCGCCTCCGGGGGAAACGGCGGCTGTCGTACTGCTTCCGCAGCCAGCAGCCGCAGAGGCGGCGGCGGCAGCAGCGGCGGCGCTAATTCTGACCTGCGCTCCTGGTTGAACTGGCGGAACCTTCCCCGCTGTCACCGGGCGGCCGCGCGCTTGCGCTTGGCCTGGTTCCGAAGCTCTCCGCGCGGGAGGCAGGCCTGGCGGAGCAGCTGCGCCATGCGCGGAGGAACCGCCGGAAAGGGGGGAAAGGTTCGGCGGTGTGTGCGGAGGTGGGTGTCTCACTGCGTCTAATTTCCGCACAGGCTGTGAGGCAGAACGCGCAAATCCGCGGCCCCCCGCGGTTGCGCCTCCGCCGGAAGGGCTCATCCCCCCCGGTCTACCCCGCCCTGGCGGCATCCGGCTGGGGCTGGCGGAATCAGAGCGCGAGGATAGCGGGGAATGGGGGAGGGCGCGGGAATGAGGAGATCCGCCGTTATTTATGGGATCCGTGAATTCCGGCCACGACGCGCCGCCGCCGTCGGACCTAGCGTCGTCTAAGCTAAGTGAATCAACACCGTCGGATCTACTGTCCACGTCAGATGATCGGGCGGGCGGATTGCGCCCGCGGGAAGTTGCGCCTCGCGCGGAGGTCTCAGCGGGGATACCGCTTGAAGCGGAAACGCTCCGCGGAAATGCATGCCGGACGGCGGAAGCTCTGGAAACCGCAGAGGCGACCTTTCCGCCGCCCGAACCTGACAGCTCTGGGAACGCAAACCCGTCCGGCTCGTCACAATGGTTCGATTCGGGTTCGGAATCCGAACCTAGTCTCAGATTTTCGTGGCTTGCAGAGCCTCGCAAGGCGGAACCGCCTGGAGCATGAGGACTTCGGGGCGGTACGGATGGGTGCGAGGGTTGCAGCCGCGCTTGGGATTGGGCCCGCGGTGTTGTGCTGTGAGAGGTGTCGGATCCTGATTGGCTCTGTGGTCTCGCCTTCTCGGATTTGGACGTGGGGAACGGCCGCGATAACGGACGATCCGCGCCGCGGTCGGGTCTCGGCGCGGACGGGGGATGAGCTCTAGGAGCGGTCTCCATTGACGAGTATGCAATGCGACAAGGTGAGTGCGGGCATCATCGAAGGTATGGAAGGTATGGATGGTTGGACGATGGAGAGTCCAGTCGACCTTGGGTGCCAAGCCCATCAAAACGTTGGTCTTGTACGCGTTAATGGCGACTTGACACAGCCACGGACACGTGGTTGAAGCCGCATGAAGATTGTGAAATAAATGCTGATTTAAAATGTGGTTTAGGTAGACATCACCTATTGTTTTTTCCGATTAATTAAGCCAGAAAGGTTTCTTTGAAAACTTATTAAAACTTTCTTGGCATGTAGATAAATCTCGGCGCGGAAGGGGGATCAGTCAGAGATCGTATTGGATTAAGTATGGACGACAAAGAGGTCAATTATATCCACTGTTCGTATACCAAGTTATCAAAGCTTGATGCCAGCAAAAAAACTGTGCTCAAGCGTGTTCCGCTTTCAAAGGCTTGCTTAGTCATGAAGCTGCGAAGAGTTGCAAAGAGAAATATGTATTTTGCCGACTTGTTGAGTTGGCCTGATAAGTTCCCTGATTCGATCTCCTCCTGGCACTTACAGATCTCGAAAATGGCCAAACACGCCCTTAACTTGTCGATGCAACGTGTCCATACATCACAGAATTCCTCGCCGCATCACGGCTTAAAGCCGGCGGCCCAAATTGTTCATGCTTTTAAAAGTTGACCAGAGGGAGTTTTTCTGGTGTGGGCTTTGGCGAGAGTTTCCGATTTCGTCTAGGTTCGTTTTTTTCGCGAGACCCAGCCAACCCTCGGTTTTCCCCCTGGTGAGTGAATCTGTCTTCGAAAGTCCCAAATTGCAAGTGCGTGACTTTCAAAAGCTTGGACACTCAACTTCGTCAAGTTTTAAAAACTTGACCCTCGCGGCCCGCAATTTGGGACGCGGGCTTTAAGAGACTTCCACGATGCCAATGCCAGGCCGTTCCGAGGCGCTTGTAATTTGTCCGAATTCAACACCGCTCATACAGTCAGCTGCGTGGGCTCTACATGCTTTCCTCGTCATTCATGACTTGCCCGGCATCCCACACAACGCGAGTTCCTTGTTGCACATCTAGACTTGCGGTTGCCCTTCCACAGGAGCGACAATCATGGCTCGGTCTATTCCGTGTTCGTTAACCGGGTCGCTTGACGGCCGCGCACGCGTCGCAGCATCGAGAACCGGTACGCCGCCTGAATGCGGCCCAGCGCGTTCCCGCCACGTGCTCTCTCTTCCTTCACTAACCACACACGCGGCGGCCTCGGCCTCTCAGGCTCTTCGATGCGCTTCACCTCCGCCGCAGCGCCTTTCCGTTCCGCCTTGCTGCGCGCAACTCTCCGCCGTGGCGACGACACGTGCACACCCTAGAAGCACGAACTATCACCGCGCAGCCGCGCAATCCCGGTGCTTTAAGGCGGACAGCGTCGGACGCACGACGAGAGATCTTCCTTCCTCGCAAACGCATTCGCATTCGCATTTGCATTTGCATTCGCATTCGCATTCGCATGCGCGGCCCTCCCGGCATCGCGTGCTGTGCGCAGCAATTCCGCCAGACGCCGCAGACCTCGCCGCGGCTCTTGCAGACCAAATTGCTTTCGCCGCTCCTGTTGCCGACGCGGCTGCTAGCCTGGCAGACACGCCCCCCCCCGCTGCCGCCGCTGCTGCCGCTGCTGCTGCTTCGGGTGACCTGGGGGTGGGTGGAGGCGGAGGACGGTCGGAGGTGACGTGGCAAATCGTGGTTGGTGCAATCGGTGAGTTGTGAGGGAGTTTGAAGCATTGAAGGAGCAGAGGGAGAACGCGAGTGCGCCTTCTTCTCGGCTCACCTCACCTCCATGTTCTCGTCAAAGCGCCTCTAAGCTGATCCCCTTCATCCCCCTTATCCACCCCATCCTCCTCATTGTCATCCCCCCACCCACTGTACCATCCCTGTCCGTGCCTTCCCCTCTGCCCTCGTCCCTGCACCAATCACCACGTGCCAGCTGGCGTGATCCCCTTCATCGTGGCGTCCATTGAGTTCGGCAAGCGCATTGTGAGTCGCCCGCCCTCCCTCTCTCTCGCACTGCCTCCCTCTGTCTCCCTGTGTGTCTCCCTGTCTCATCACCTGCCTGTCTCATCACCTGCCTGTCTCATCACCTGCCTGTCTCATCACCTGCCTGTCTCATCACCTGCCTGTCTCATCACCTCCCTGTCTCATCACCTCCCTGTCTCATCACCTCCCTGTCTCATCACCTGCCTGTCTCATCACCTCCCTGTCTCATCACCTGCCTGTCGAAATGATGATGAGGAGCGATGAGTCGCTTCGTACTGTCTGTTGTCTATCGTCCATCCCTCACCGTCCACCTGGATGCCTGTTGCATTTATCAATCGCATGGCGTTCATCCAACCTTGGGTGAAGCCCCTTCCACTTCCTTGCTCTGCTCCTCGCCTCTCTATGCTCCCCTCTCTGCCTGCGCCTCCCCATTGCAGCCCTCTCATTGCCAATGTGAGCCATGCCAGATGTTTGTCTCACTTCTTCTCATCTACCGCCCTCCCTCCCTCCCTCCCTCCCTCCCTCCCTCCCTCCCTCCCTCCCTCCCTCCCTCCCTCCCTCCCTCCCTCCCTCCCTCCCTCCCTCCCTCCCTCCCTCCCTCCCTCCCTCCATCCCTCCCTCCTCCCTCCCTCCTTCCCTCCCTCCGTCTCCTCTCTGTCCTTGCGTGATCCCCCCACGGTTCGCCTCTCCTCCCAGGCGGCGCAGAGGCGGTGTGAGTAGTGCTGGGGCGTGGGGCTGCAGCTATTGTTGAGGCGCCTTTATAGTTGTTCCCCAAACCTCACCCTTCTCCCCCCGCCCCCCGCCCCTCCCCTCCCAGGCGGCGCAGAGGCGGTGTGAGCAGGGCCGTGGTGCGGGGTTGCTTGCAGCTATTGTTGACGCGCCTATGAAGTTGTTCCTTAAGCCTCATCCCTCTCCCCCCACCCCCAACCCCTCGCCCCACGCCCCTCTCCTCCCAGGCGGCCCAGCGGCGCTGTGAGGCGTATCAGGGCTCGGGGCTGCAGCTCGTGGGGCGCTTCTACCGCCGCTGCTCCGCGTGCGGTGAGTGTGAGGGCGAGGGTTAGGGGCGTGGCATGGGTGGAGTACTAAGGGGAGTGGCATGCATGTGTGTAAAGGCTATGGGATGCATGTTTGTAAGGTTTGTTGCATGTGTGAGTGTGCGAAGGGCTGTGGCTGGCATATGGAGTGATTCGATAATGCAACCCCTCACATGCTTCACCATCACCACCTACCCACCTGCACAACCCGGGGGGGGAGCTCCTTTTGCGGCTCTGCCAGCCTGCTGTGGTGGGTACATAGGGCTCCCTCAAATGCGCGCCACGCATGTCTGGGTGGATGTTACAGGGTATTGCTGGGCATGCAGCTATGTGCAGTGAGTAAGCATGTTCCTCCTCGCTTCTGTTGTGCTGTGCAGGCGGTTTCCTGCCTTGGCAATCCTGGCGCAGGTTCTTCCTAGGCTGAATGCAGGAGGGAGTGTCTGTACTACCTTTGCTACCTGGGTATGTTGGCCAATTTTTTACCTACAACCAGAAGGGAAACCGTTCACTTGTACTGTAAGAAATGGTACAGTAACTGGAACATCTCAATGCAGTTGGTCCGCGGCTTGCCTTGCCATCATTGGTGCAGAGGCTTAGGGTGGGCAAGAAGGAAGAGAGAAGGGCCTAGTACGGTGCCACCCATCACCTGTGGGTGATGTGATGCCAGTCTGTCAGCCTGCCAGCACTCGCACTTGTGTGTGCCTGGACAACTTGCCAGCATCAGTTGTGCCGAGCCAAGGCGAAGAGGGATGCAAAAGCAAGAGGAGAAGACTAGACATCACGGGATGCCACTGAACTGAACTGATTGTTCACAGTGGTGCGGTTCCGTGCGTGTCCAGGCAGGAAAGTGCCGTACAAAGTCACGACACGAGGATAGTGTAAACATGCAGAGCTTCAACGGCCCTTCATGGTGCTGCTGGTATCATGAATTACCGGTAGTACACTAGACAATAACTCCTCATTTCTCCTCATTCTAACCTTCCCAGCAAATGTTTTCACTTACGTAACTTGCTCACCATTAACCACAGCAGTCTTCTCACCGTACGTCACCTCAATAATCAAAACTCCCGCATCTTTGGAAAGCCTCTGCCATAGCCCCTCTATTCACAATCTGTCAGCTCGGCACAACTGCCCTCTATACTCGCAATCAGTTCCCACCTCCCAGAGAGCATAGGGCATCCCCCAGACGTCCACTCAACGTCACTCTTCCTTCCAACGACCTAACCACCCTCCTTGCAACTCTCCTTGCCAATTCGCTTGAAGCTGTGCCTGGGACTGTTGATGCGCCTGCCTGTGCACCTGACCACCCCAATGATCCATCCACCATCCCCACACCTCCCTGCGCCATCTTTGTGGCACTTCCCTGTCAATAAAATGAACGAGAATGGATGCATGGACAAGAAACTGAGTACAAGTTGTCTGAATCCCAACCACTAAACCATAGGGTTAAAAATGCTTGTTAAGTAGCGGGTCAGTGCGCCCATAACCCCCCAGGACAGCGAGCCTGTAACCCTTCCCTAGGATCAATCGTGGATCACCAGCGGACCTCTGACACCCCCCCTGCACTGAGATGCCCGAAGTGCACACACTAAGATTCGAACCCGAGACCTTCGCTCTGATACCATGTCAGAATCCCAACCACTAGACCATTGGGAAAAAAGGGCTGGTTAAGTAGCGGGTCAGTGCGCCCATAACCCCCCAGGACAACGAGCCTGTAACCCTTCCCTAGGATCAATCGGGGATCACCAGTGGACCTCTGACACAAGTATTCATAGCAGGAAACCTGTTAAGTTTTTAGGGCCCACCAATCGTTTTGCTAGTTCTTGCCCGAAGCGCCCTTGCGTTGTCCAGCCCTCTCGCACAGTGTCACGCTGCCCTGCACCTACTCGCACTGCCTGCCCTAGCGCTCTGCCCTACTGTCACGCGCGCCCCTGCTGCCTGTGAGCAGCCCCTGCCCCGAGCGCCCTGCTGCCCGCGAGCAGCCCCTGCCCTGCGCGCCCCTTCTGCCCACGAGCAGCTCTTGCCCCAGCACGCCCCGTCTGCAGGGTTGCGTCTGCAGGGTTCGCGCCCTACTGCCCTGCGCGTCGCACCCTGCTGTAGCCCGCGCATCGCGCTCAGCTGCTCCGTGCGTCGCGCCCTGCTGCAGCCCGCACGTCGCGCCTTGCTGCCCTGCACGTCGCACCCTGCTGCAGCCCGCGCGTCACGCTCTGCTGCTCCACGCGTCGCGCCCTACTAAAGCCCACGTGTTGCGCTCTGCTGCCCCGCGCGTCGCGCCCTGCTGCAGCCCGCGCGTCGCGCCCTGCTGCCCGCGCCGCCCAGGCCGAGCCGCGACGCCCAGCCTGAGCCGCCCTCCTGCTACTACTACTGCTGCTGCTGCTCGTGCTACTGTTATTGCTGGTGGAGGTGCTCCTGGGAGTGCTGGAGGTGCCGCCGCCCAGCCCCACCGAGCCGCCCTGCTGCTACTACTGCTGCTACAGCTGCTCGTGCTACTGCTGCTGCTGGTGGAGGTGCTGCTGGGAGTGCTGGAGGTGCTGCTGGTGCTGGACGTGCTGGAGGTGCGGCTGGGATTACTGGAGGTGCTGCTAGTGCTGGACCTACTACTGACCGTCATTGCCTGTCATGGCCACTATCACGGCAATTGCAGCGGCTAGGGGTGGACAGCAGCGGTCACCGCCTCTCCCGGACGACCCCACCCCTCAGCAGCTTCGTGAGTGGGTTATTCAGCGAGGCAGTCCTGGTGGTGGAGTTTTTGGTTTTATGTGGCCTCAGCGACCTCGCGACTGTGCTTCTCAGAGATGCATCCCTGGTCGTGTAGAGGCTGCTGCTCTCGGTTCTAGTGAGTCTGCTGCCGCTCCAGGTGCTGGTGAGTCTGCTACAACTCTAGGTGCTCGTGAGTCTGCCGCCGCTCTAGGTGCTAGTGCGTCTACTCCCACAGGTCCTGCCTCAACTGAGGCTTTGCACACTTTCACGCTTGACTCAGGTGCGTCACGTTGCTTCTTTCATGATTGCACCACAGTCACACCACTCGCAGCACCTGTCCCAGTCTCACTGGCAGACCCCACTGGGGGCCCAGTAGTTGCGCGAGCCTCCACTTTCCTCCCGTGTCCGGCAGTCCCCTCCGGGTCTCTCTCAGGTCTCCACCTCCCCGCGTTCTCGACGAACTCGTTGAGCAATGCAGTTCTCCGGGATGAATGGGTTGACACATTAATTCCTGGAGGACAGCGTGTGGCGATCTGTAAGTGCTCACGCACTGGTCCTCACCTTGTTACGTTCACTTGTCAGCCTGGATCCGGTCTGTACACCCTGACCACTGCGTCTGCATAGGTGGCGGAGTCAGGTCAGGTGGCTACGTCGAGTCGGATGTCTTCGTCTGGTCTGCTTGCAGCGTCTTGCTCGTGTCGGGTACTCTCTCACCAGACTCTCCTCTGGCACCACTGCTTAGGTCACCCCTCGCTGTTGCGTCTCCGCAGCATGCACTCCCGTCTCCTTGTCTCTGGCCTTCCCAAGTCCCTGCCCTCCCTCCCGCGCTCACCTGCCCCGCTGTGCCTTCCTTGCGTCGAGGGGCGGCAGCGCGCCGCTCCTCACTCCTCCTCGTTTCCTCCGACCACTGCTCCTCTGCAGACTCTCCACATGGACGTTTGGGGCCCGGCCCTTGTCGGTGGGACGGACCAGGAGCGCTACTTCCTGCTGGTTGTTGATGATTACACATGCTACACCACTGTCTTCCCCTTGCGGCGCAAGGTGGACGTCAGCGGTGGTTTGATCCCCTGGATCCGTGCTACTCGTTGCCAGCTGCGCAAGCGATGTCGTCGGGACTTGCCAGTCCTGCGTCTGCACTCTGACAGGGGCGGTGAGTTCTCTTCTGACCTCCTTGCAGAGTTCTGTCGAGACGAGGGCATCCGCCAGTCGTTCACGCTTCCGGCCTCTCCTCAGCAAAATGGGATTGCTGAGCATCGCATCGGCTTGATCATGGACGTTGCTCGTACCTCCATGATCCATGCGGCTGCTCCCCATTTTCTGTGGCTATTTGCGGTCCGATACACTGCGCATCAGCTCAACCTCTGGCCCCGTGTCTCTGAGCCAAAGACATCGCGCACACTCCGGTGGACGGGGAAGGTTGGCAATGCGTCGCTTTTTCGGGTCCGAGGCACGCTCTCCCTTGTTCACGATGCCAAAGTGAGCAAGCTCTCCACTCGTACTCTCCTGTGCATCTTCCTTGGCTTCCCCACCGACGCCCCGCCGTTGCAGTTCTACCACCCGCGCTCGCGTCGAGTCTTCTCCTCCCAGGACGTCACCTTTGACGAGTTTGTTTGTTTCTACAGGCTACACCCGCACGCGTCCCACCTGGTCCACCTAGCGCCTCTTTTCTTGGTACCAGTCCCCCCCCCCGGTAGACCCCCTTCCCCCACAGGGTCCTGCTCCCTCAGATGTATCTCAGGTAGACCCACCCCCCTTAGTTGAGCCTTTGGAGATCTCTTCTGACTCTTCTGGCCCAGCTGAGGGGGGTGACCCCGCCGCTGACGACACGGCGGCCACTTGCCGCTCTCTACGCTTGGAGACCCCCCCTGGTTTTTCGCCTCGGCCGTCATCGCCGCCTCTGCAGCCTGCTGCTGTGGACTCTGGAGCTGAGACTGGTGGTGCTGAGCCTGGGGGTGTTGAGATAGAGGGTGAGGGTTGTAGGGGTGATGCGACTGGGGGTGCTGGTTCTGGGGGTGCTGTGACTGGGGGTGCTGAGAGTCCTTGTGGCGGTGGAGGTGTGGGTGACCCTGCTGGAGGTCCTGGAGCTGGAAAGCCACCGCAGCCTGATCTACTTGAGACGCTCTCGCCGCAGGCAATTCGTGCGTGGATCGTTCGGCGAGGCAGTCCTGGTGGTGGAGGGTACGGTCCTGCTGGTGCTGGAGCTGCTAAACCTGGAGGTACTGCTGGTGCTGAAGGCCCTGGAGCTGGAGGTACTGCTGGTGCTGGAGGCCCTGGAGCTGGAGGTACTGGAGGTACTGGAGGTGC